TCTGATCCGTTTGTCTCTACCGAAACGATGAGGTGCATATTGGCTGCTCGCGAAATTTTGCTCTGTCGATAACAGATTGCGCATTATGAGACGAGTGAGGGAAGCGACGAGATAAGTTATGTGAGAGAAAAGAAAATAAATGAAATGAAATTAAATTAAACGAAGAAGGAAAATCGGGAATTATTCGTGAAAAATACTCCTCGTGGACAACCGAGTATGAAAATCGGCACCTTTCGTAATACTGCAAATTACCAATTACGAGACGAGAGAGAAGAAAGTCGAGATGAGTGACGATGTCAGCCAGAAAGAAGAAAATACATAAATAAAATTAAATTAAAAAAGAAAATCGGGAATTATTTGCAAAGAATACTCTTCGTGGACAACCGTGCAGAAAATCGGCATCTTTCATAATACTGCAGATTACTGATTATGAAACGAATGAGCAAAGGGACGAAATAAGTTATGCGAGAAAAAAGAAAATAAATTAAAATAAATTAAATTAAATTAAGAAGAAAAATCGGAACCTTTCGTAATACTGCAAATTACCGATTATAAGACGAGAGGGAAGAAAGTCGACACGAGTGATGATGTGAGTCAGAAAGAAGAAGATAGATAAATAAAATTAAATTCAAAAAGGAAAATCAGGACAACCGTGGACAACCGCGCAGAAAATAGGCATCTTTCATAATACTGCAGATTACCGATTACGAGACGAGTGAGGAAAAAATCGAGATGACTGATGTGAGCGCGAAACAGGGGAATAAATAAATGAAATTAAAAAGGAAAATCAGGAATTATTCGCGAGGAATACTTTTCGTGAACAACCGAGCAGAAAATCGGCACCTTTCGCAACATTGCAGATTACCGATCACGAGACGCATGAAAGAAAAGACGAGACGAGTGCAACGAGCGAGAAATAGGAAAATAAGTAAATAAAATTAAGAAAATAAGAAAAGGAAAATCGGGCATTATTCGCGAAGAATGCTCGTCGTGGACAACCGAGCAGAAAATCGGCTTCTTTCGGCGTTCATCTGAGAACGATTCGAGCGTGGATCCGCTCTCGTAATTTCTGCGATTCGCCCAGCGAGCCGCGGCTTCCTGCGCTCGTAAATCCACAAGTGAATAGACATTTTTCCACTGGTAAATAGAAAACCGATCGCATAAATCTTATCTACCGAATGGTACGTTTCAGATAAATTATCCCATAGATAAAACAAAATACGCATATACTCCCCACTTCTGTCCTTTATCTAACGATTAATATCGCATCATCTATGGATCAGTAGATAATTAACTCCCCCTTCAAATATACATTTTCCTGCACAAACACAAATATATATTTAACTACTACTTCTCAGAGTCGTCTGCGTGCTTGCACACATTTAAATGTCCTTCTTTTTCAGAAAAATTCCTATTTTCTCCAACGGCGTTTTAAATGAATTTTTTCCCTCTATAAAAGATCACGAAAATCCTCGGTATTACAATTTTTATACGATCCATGTTTAACCCTTTCATCCCTAATATTAATTTAACCCCGCCTAATCTCCATTTTCCACTGGATTAATCTCCATTTTATATTTAATTCCAGAAATAACGCAATTCGCTGGTGTTTTATTACAACGTGGTGTAGTTACTAGCTTATTTTATTTCTCTATTTCTTCCATGGGATATTATAATTTCAGAATTTTATCTGGACATCTAATGCGACCAGTCTGCAGAGTCCTATTTAACGATGGCTACTCGCTCGAGATTGCAACGAAAGGGTTAATGTAGAGTAATGCGTGACGCGATCAAGTTGAAAGTTACTATGCACCAATAACAATGTTGCATCTATGCACTCGACTAATGACAATTACCTATCTCTTTCACAACGGAAGTTCTATTTATAAAATTACTAACGATAGCCGGTAAACGGTGTCCTTATCTACAATACATGATCGATTAATTTTGCTCTTGTAAAGATAATTGAACACTTGAATATTTTAGAAGGTAACTCGATACTTTAAGAAAATAAATAAATTCTGCCGCATACTGTCGTGTTTTTATTATGCCTGTATAATTATCTCGACATTCCTTTTTCTATTCCTTCTTCTACGAATTTGCAAGAAATTTGCGAAATTTGCAAAATTTGCGTTCTTCTATAACACCGAGTATAAGTTGAATGATATATTGAAAAATTAATACTGCTACCAAATTGCTATAACTTTTTCTTTTTAGTCCGCGTTATCGTTTGAAATTCGAATTTTGGAACGAAATTTCAAAATTATCCGGTTTTATTGGTAGTTGTTATTTCTCGAGATAAATTTTAGGTTGCCTATACCCGATTGTGAAAAATATAGGTTTTACTGGAGAAACAAGTATATGCTATTCAAAGAAATTTAATTTCGGAGATGAACGTGTTTCGAGACGAATTAATCGAGCTACGTGACGTCGTTAATCGAAATTTGAAGAGAAAATTGAAAGCACGAGCCAAGTACGTGCTTTCCACTTCTCTGATTTCAGATTGCAATTTTTGCACGAGTAGCTAGCTATCTTCCACCTCGAAGTGATCATCGAGAGTGGGGCAAATTGTATGTCCCAGATTACGAGTGTTCCTTCATTTTGGATATTCCTCGAGTATTCGATAAAAATGAAACAGCAAAAATGACTTTATCTCGGAATTTGTACTTTTTAAAATTCCGAACGAAAAACCGGGTCTAAACTACCAACCACTTATGGTTTATCTCATAAACACACGTGTTAAAATTAATACGTATCTGTCTCCTAGATATGGCGAATGTTATGAAAGAAACTGTATACCTGATCTACCTAACACTATTAGTATAATAATACACTGTTAGTACACTCGATTAAAATTTGATAGGATAGCATCACTAATTTAGTAGAAAATAAATGACGGAATATAAAATTTTATTGCAAAAATAAATATAAATCGCGAATTTATTTTAAAATATTTTAATTAAAAAAATAAAACAAATCAAAGAGCCAGGAATTCGAAAGAATTCTCGAATTAAATATTCTAATATAACCTTTATCCCGCAAAATTAAAATGGTACCGGGAACGCTTGATATTTTGCAACTATGCGTTAACACTAGAATCTGGGGAATTTTATCCTGCCCGGAACCCCGCTAGGGGTCGCGTTAATAGCGCACGATTATTCTCGCTTTCGCGAACGATTTTAAAAAATCCGTCTACTAGATACCATCTTTTTCTTGTTATCTTTAATAAACTTTTTAATTGGCTCCGAAATCAATTAACTATTTCCACAGCGAAACTCTGAAACCATTATAAAAATATAAAAAAGAAACACCACCGTTCTACTCTAATTAATATAAATTAATTGAAAAACAAAATGGGCAATAACGATAAAAGTATTCTATTCCATTCTATTTCATATATCAATAACAGAATCAATATCAAACCGCAAATAAGATTTATTCCAATATATTCTTCCAATTATATTATACCTCACACAAACTATAACTCAGCCACGATTAAGCTACACTATACTCTCCCAGTCCAGATAAAACTACAAAATTTTACACGCATAATACACCGAAATATCTCAACCGATGAAGCAGCAAAATTCTAAGAACGATTGCAGCGAGTAGAGAAAAAAAAAAATGAAAAAATAAAGGTAAAAATGACCATATCCGGGGTTCCAGTGTTAATCGATACACGTTTGGTCCCTTGGCCAAGTGGAGCCCAGATTTCTCTTCCGAATCGAAAGCATGGCGGTTACCAAGAAAGAAAGAGACGAAAAAGCGTTTCGGAAGACACGAGAGGGGAAGAGAGAGAAAGAGAGAGAGAGAGAGAGAGAGAGAGAGAGAGAGAGAGAGAGAGGAGTGAACGCGCGAGCACAGCAGACGGCGATGCCAGGTCCATTGGCCGATGACGTACGCTTGTTATCAACTTCCTGCTAGAATTGATATAGATGCGCGGGCCCTGTTCCTACGTTAAACGCGACGAAAGGGTCGTTGATCCGGATAGTTCAGCAAGTTATCGTCTTTTTCAACAATCGCCGCTGTTTCGCGTGGGAATTCGTAAACGCCGCCTCTCAAACTCCGTTGACTCGTGAAAAAGTGGATTTTTCCAATTCGCGGTCAATCGAGGCGAACGAGACTGATTGATACCGCCACGATGGAAATTAAGAAAAAACGACGAAGTAACGAACGTACTGCGTGGGTATTTTCAAACGATACTTCTGGAAAAATATAACTGCCGAATTGCTTCGGTTTCTTAGTTAAATTAAAATTTTTTAATAATAGAATGTAAGGAATGAAAGAATATTTCAAATTTCTAGAACAATTTAAATATGGATGCCAAAAGGAATTCCGACAGGTTAGAATACGCAAATATTTTCGAGGTTAAGAGAGGGCACGGTAGAGGTTCGTGTTTTGACCGTGAAAGACCGTTGGATAGTTTTCCTTCCTTTCACTTTTCGGCGAACTAGCTTCTCATCGGTCAGACACCTATGCAAAGGTCTATAACGTTTCGATGATAAACATAAGCGGACTGAATGGACTTACTGATAACAAAACATCGCGCGATGGTCGACCTGTAAAAGCAATCTCGTAATCCCGCGTTAGAATAACATAAACTAGACGAAAGAGAAACTCCTTTCCGACGTGTATATGTATACACTGGCGTTTTCAAAAGAAATCACGTTCCACTGACCACACGAAGCCATATACACGTTCGAACGGGACGTATCCACGGGGCATGAGACTCGCACGGAAAATGATTCTAATAGTATCCTATACTGTAACGTATTCCGAGCCGTATCCTATTACTATTCCGATGCTAACCCCACGAATGAATCTAATTTCACCGCATATAATTCTTTTATTTTTTTGACAGTGATCTGTTTACTAACAAGCAGCCGGCCATTTTCAAGCGCGCGGTACAGGGCGTAACCAAAGCCGCGGAAAAGCTGTCCCTAACCCTACCTACAGTATAACCTGTTGTAAGGAAATTTTCCAAGAATATTGTGACTCACCCTCGGGATATGCTTGCTTGCTCTGCACGAAGTCGATGAACATGTTGGTCACGTTGTACAGCTGGCCCATGCCCTTGGGGTTGAACTTCGTGGTGGCGTTGTAGAGCAGCTTGGTCGTGTTCATTGTCGTGTAGTTGAGACTCTGCGATGCCATGATATCATTCAGCTGCCGGTCCAGATCCTCGCTGATCACACGCATCCGATTTGTCAGTGTCTCCTGGCAGCGAACTGGACACGACACCAGAAGAACAAAGAGCAGACACAGGACCGTGAATCCATAATGCACCACGGCACTCGGCCGAAAACCACAAAACAGAACGAAAGTCATGACAGCGACTTGCGCCGGGGACGCGTCGCTACGGACTGATGCTCTGGCTCGTTTCGGAGGCACGCGGAACCGAACCATCCCCACTCCGACGCCCATTGCCGTGTGCGTTCGGGCTTGCTCAGTAGTTCTCGTTCGCTCGTTCCTATCGTTCATCGACCTTTCGCAGTAAATATTCTTTATCTATTTTCGATACTTTTAATAGTATTTTAAATTAATTTCGATGTGGTAATCGATTGTAATATATTTTTTAAATACAATATTCGCCGATCTTTCTCCTGAAGCCGAATTTTAATTCCTGGCGTTCCTGGTCCACGTGTTCCCATAAGTCACCGTAAAAACGAATGAATAATGTTCTGAGAATTACTGACATAATTCGTACGATTTTTTATCGAACTAAGGTTAAATGTAATTCGATACTACGTATTTCGTTATGTTTAAACTTTATAATAACGTAATATGGATATTTTTAGTGGTTATAAGAATTGATTTCCGCGTTTCCGCGTGATTGGCTGAACCTCGCGAGCCCGGAGAACGGACCAATCAGCGTTCAGAACTTCCCCCGCAAATTTGAAATGCGCGTCCGTGTTCCCTTAGCGCGAAAGATTGCGTTTTAATTAAACATGGTGTCACGGACATGATACAACGATTGTTTTTCTACGGTAATTGCGCCGACAGAAGGAAAAGCAACGGCAAATTAACGTGAGAATCGTGACGAAAGATGCACCACGTTTCTTACGTCATTTAATTGACTTGATGCAACGCTTCGAGATGATCTCCGTTTAGAAGTCTTTCGTAAACGCTGGTTCAAAGCACGCTGTTTATTCTCGCCACTCTCATGTTTCAATTTCTAAAATTTAATATCGGAGTCATTCAAAAATATTTCTCCACTGAATAAGCTACCTTTGTTAATTTCCTCTTCCACTTTTATATCTTCAAACACGTGTTTGTAATTTTTTATGAGTAATCCAGGCTCTGATAACAGGAAAGAATCAATCGATATGATGCTGTCGATCGATGAGTAGTCAATATGTCTAGTCTTCCAAGTACAATCTCATTCCACTATTAATCAATAAATTTGCAAGATAAACTTTTCAAATCTCTTACCCTGAGATCTTTATCGATGGAAATACACCTGACACGAGGTATTACGAAACATGAACGTGAAATTCCCGATTCTTGATAAGCATCGTTAATATTATTCCTAATTCCTTACACTCGTAACACAGTTCAATTTAATATCTATCCATTTTTCGGATCAGTCTCGATATCTTCGCAGATTCCGATCATGTAAACGTTGAATTTTCTAAGAAGAGAAAGAATTTCACGTAAATCGTGGTAGAATCGAATCCTGGAAATCATTGCAGCTGCGATCGGCTCTTTTTATTCGTGTCAATCCATACCAGTCTGACCAAGCTTTCACGAAGAGATCCACTTTTGTGGACTAGTTTAATCGAAGAACCAAAAAAAGTAAAAGGGAGAAAGAAAAAAAGGAAACACTACCGGGAAAAAGTTATTCCCTGTAATTAAGAAGAAAGTCCCGTGGAATTAGCAAACGAAATCCAACGAATGCCGGTTCTCGGTCGCGCGAAACGATTGCTGGTAATGTTATCGCAATTTTTACGACACGCTTTTTATTGTCAGCGACAATAAACGGTCACGTTTTATTGTATAGTATAACGGGTGTTGCGATTGAAACAAGTCGTTTGAACGGACTGGTTTGGTCAAACCGAGTTCCCATCGTTTCTCATCACTGAGCTCGGTTAACACGTAGCAAACCACAGAAACATTGGATCCAGGTCGTGACATCGAAAACTGCGTTTCGATCGGCTGTTGCCTCTGTTCTCTGGTGACCCGGAAACCACTACCTAGCGGCCACTTAAACCGAGCATCTGCTTTTAGCCATAAGGCGTTGAAAATGGCGAATGTGCATAAGAAACGATACAACTTCTTGCATGGTACGTCAACTCTTCGTTAAAAATTTTGTCTCCGTACTTCCTCGTTAATTTTTACCCGAAAAGCATGCATTTTGCTCGACTGCACGTTGCGGGTCAGGAAATACCGATGCTTTCTTACTCGTTGACGAGGAAAATTTCGATTCTCGAAGGTTTGATGAAATTCGGGGAAAATGTAGAATGCTTCTTCTAAAAGGATAAGAGCTTGGAGCATTCGGCTGTTCGAGGTAAGAACTTTCCAAGTGGAGCTTACAAGCTGAATAGCTGAGCAGGCAGGGTTCAACGTTTCGTGTAATGGCATGTTAAAAATCGAATTTCCTTGGAGATGCGAAACAGGCTGCTGCTCGTGTAATTCACTTGGCCAGATTTACTTGCCAATGGCTTCCTGGGATTTTCTTGCTCCAACCACGGGCCACGAAATTCGTCGGCGAATGTTCCACTGAACGTCGAAGATTTTGATCGAGTTAGATTTAATAAATCCATACCGGAGATCCACGCAAGTAACATTGCGATCGTGTTTAATAATCTTCGTCTACAAATGTGTTTTACAAGTGGGAAAGAGGGAACAACCTGTAGAGGAAACATTCGGTTCGCTTAGGCTATTCTACTTTCGTAATACTATTCCGGTGCTGATCGAGAAACAACGCGAGGATCGATACTTACTAGCTGAAAGAGGGCAGTTTCTTATTCTAAAGAACACTTCGCATGGATAAGGCGAAGATGCGTCGCTAATGGTGCAATTAAAATTACTGGTGTAGACAGGCGGCATATGAAACGCAGTGACACGGGGAACTGCATCTGAAAATAGTGCCGGAGTGGTTCCAGGCGGCATAGTGAGACGGTTTAAAATTGGCATAAAACTAGGCTACATTCCATCCAACCCTTCAGAAACGTTCTAACGCGTGCAATCATTGTGCAATACGAGCTCGTCGTGTGCATCGTTCTGTTTATAAATAAGCGTGGCTTGCACACTATAAACAATATCTTATCGGTGCTCGATCTCAGGACTTACGGCTAAATAACCATCGGTCTTTTACGCAGTGAGGATATTTCTAAGAGAACAATAAATACTAACGTTGCGAAGATCTATATCTAAAATTAAGTTAATTGTTTCTCTAACTCGAGGATTACGCAATGGTGAACGAAGCTGAACGTTTGTTTGGTGGATTTGGAATTAAGAATTAAGAATGCTACCGAGGAATGGGATTATACGTAGGGGGACTTTAGGTAGCGTAATTTCTCAGCTTCATAGGCTTAGGCAATTCCTTGGCGGCGGTGGATTTGTCCGATGGGATTTTTGGCATCTCCATAGCTGACGGCAAGCTCGAGTCTTCCTGTGGATTCAGCCAGTGACTTGTTCTGGAAACACGAGGAAAAGATAAGTCTGGACCCGTTTCCTGAGAAATCTTTCGAGCAAGCACCTCGGTGTATCTTTAAATTCAAGAGTGGTTTCGCTCGTATCGCAGGGGAAGATTCGAGGAGAATCGCAATTTCCGACGATTCAAGATGTGAAACAGTTCGAAGATACAAAAGATAGCGACAGTTTAATCGCGTTACTCTGCTCTATCAGAAGAGAAATACAAAAATGAGAAAACCCTGTCTGATCATCTACGAAAAATATTGCTGATATCTAATGTACACATTATTTGAGATAAAGTTTTGTCATTTTATAGCAACGAAGATAGAGAAAATTCCACGTATATTCCTGCACCGTATTGGAGAAGAGGACAATCATAGAGAAGCAATGAAAGATACCTGTAGCCCGACGCAACACCTTCAATTTCTCTGGAGAAAGCTTCATCGAAGCTTTGATCCATATCATCGCCTGTTATAGTATCAGACAACTCATTTCTCGTTTCATTCATTGTTTCCTTGTTTGTACTGTTCTGATTTCTTGATTCGATAAGCTGTTGATTCCTCATGGAAGTGTCGATAAGGGTTTCGTCGATCAATACCTCGTCAGTAGATGTCTTATGTCTCTGTTCGACATTATACGCCCCTTTCTGATCGTCTGGCTTATCTGGATATCGATGCAACACGTTCTTTTCGTAGTAATACTGACCAGGTTTCCTCACTCTACTGTTGCCGGCCTGAACAGCCAATGGTTTGGGAATTTCGCTGGTAACTCGGTTCTCAAGTTTGTCGATATCGTGTCCGGTTTGACTCATCGTTTCCGAAGGCTCCGTGACAATTGTTACACTGTGTATCTTCGATGGCTTAGATTGTGCGAGAGTGTGATAAGAATTTTCAGGTATGTAACTAGACTGATAATCGTTCTGTGCAGGCTTGTAAATAGGAGTCGAGTGAAGCGCGATATTGTAATCGCTCGTGCTATAAAATCCGCTTGTATCTTTATTGGATTCGTCATATATTGGAGTAGGTCTTGCAGAGGAGCTCACATAAACACTGTTGGGATTAACAGTGCCTTCTTTCTCAGTTTCGCTTACAGTAAGTTTACCAGGAAGTTCGGTTTGATAACTTGCACCGTAATTAGTGAACCAATCATTGGAGCTAGCTTGGATAGGTTTCTTATTAAGTCCCGCCTGATAAGGAGGTCTACTCGAATATTGCTGATTATTCGCATTGTTTCCTGTCTTCTTATCGAAAGAAACGCTGGGCCAAGTGGTGTATCTGTCTTCGGATTCCTTTAAATAACCCTGTTGAGGCAATGGACTGGTAGGTCTGTTTGTATAATCTTGCGAGATTCCATAACCAGCATTACTCGGTTGATTAACCAAACTTGGTGGTCGATATTGTAATTTCTGCCAAATATTTGTCCCGTACCCTTGATTCTCATGCAACTGCTCTGATGAGCTGTAAGGAGGTCTAGACGGTGGACGATTATGATACTGTGATTCAGGCCAGGAAGTTGGTCTAGTTCCATGGTCCTGTGGTTTGTAATTTATCGTATAATCATCCACATTCTGAGCAGGTTGCTGCGTAGTTGGTTTTTGAAAATTGGTGTAGTAGGTATACAAAGTCGGCCTGGGACTGGTTCCGGGGAAACTCTCGAAGACCACATCGTTAGGTATGTAACCTGGTTGGAATCCTTGACTTAAGGGATTTGGATTATTTGGATCGTCGAATGTATAAGGAATATAAGGACGACCGATATAGTTTACCGGTGAATGTGTCGTTGATATGGGTTTTGTTTGTGGCGAATAGATTGGGATCCGTAACGATTCTTGAAGGGCTGGCTTCGCCCGTGTTTGTTGGTTCAGTGAAGGATTTATTTTGATGCTGGACCCATAAATGGCATCGTTTACGAAAACTGGAGAGTTAATGGCATTATTTTGTACAACTATGGTAACGTTATCCGAAGGACCAAGAGGTTTCTTCACAACGATCCTGTTTTGCTGATGGATACTTACTTTTGGAGGATTTAAATTAAGAGGCACGTTTATTCGTTTCTCCTTAGGGCTTTCAGAAGACGAAGTAGGCTTTGGAGTGCTCACGCTAGATGAAGTAATTTTCTGCTTTATTTTATCTAAGATCCCAAGTCCTTTGAAACGTGGTGGTCTCTCTGCCCAGAAGTCTAAATTCAACTGACCAATAGCCGGGTCGTTGCAAGATAATCGTTGATTCTTCATGGTATCCTGTGTCAAAAAGACGAATGGTTGAAGAGTTTCGATGTTATCCATCGTTGCGCAGAGAACTTGAGCCAAAGTAACTCGTCTAATTTGCTGAAGTTGACCAGGTGTAAAGGTGCTTTCTTGTCCAGAATTTTCGTACCAGAATCTGTCCCCTCGGCGACTATTACTGAATTGTTGGCCAATTATACAAGCAAAAGTGGGACCAACCAAACCACCCTTCACTGATTTTTCTGCCAGCCCAGCAGTGAATAAATCAATATCCTCTACTGATGAATAAACTAATCGAAACCTCCTGGCCGTGGATGGTGGCATTACTTTATCCAAATCATCAAAGTCTCTTATGCGAGATAAAGCACAAGGTTCTCGCCATTGGACGTATGGAGGAATTCCGTGATCTCTGCCTCGTTGAATGTTGATAGAGGCTAGATCCATTCCGAAAGGAAAGTTCGGAGTTTGGAAAAGGTGGTTGGTTAGCTCTTCGGTTATATGCTCGTCTCTTCTTTGGGCACGCTGATTAATTAGGCCAAGAAGGAGACGATCTACCGATCCTGCTGTTTCTAAGTTTACAGGATTAGTGAACTCATTATGGATGGAGACATCTGTAAATTGAAGTAATTATGGAATGTTTTATATATTACAGTGTACTTTGCAGTATTCTAAGAATTTTTCTATGAATACTAACTATTGAAGATAGGTTGGTGATCACTGTCGAACCGAATAAAGCTGTGTTGAACTAGGGAATGCCCAAAGCGATAGGCAGCCGTAGAAAATGCGTTGGCGATAGTTGGATTCACAGTTGGATCGTAGCCTTCGTAGTAGCCTTTCTTCAGAAGTTCGAGGTCGAATATTTTCATCACGTCTTGACCTGGAATGTTCCAATTTCAATTAATTCTATTTTTAAATTCTCCTTTGATTTCAATTGATTCTGAACGCCGATAATGATATAACGATAGCAGGAACAAACGTCGCTCGAGTAATTTCATCTGAATTTAAACGTTCAATTTACCAAGAACAATAGGCAGGAACTCTCTGTAGGTGATGTGTTGGACAATAGCTCCAACGATCCTCCGTGATTCTTGAAATAGTTTCTCGTCACTCCAATGAGCATTCAACGCAGCAAGTTTCGTAGCTACCCTATTGTGAAGCCTCAAAAAAACCACGTGAAGAGAAGTGAGTGCAGGTTGCTCCCCAAGTCGGCCATCGCCAGCTCTAAAGCAGCTCGTGGATAACGATCCATGTCTGCAGAGATCGGAATGCAGTTTCGGTAGTACTGGTCTCTGTGACTGAATCCTTCCATACTGCAGTAGACCTGCGAATACAATAATATCCTCTGACTAGTACAATATATTCTATAAAAGATACAATATCTCAAGGTACAAAGCATTCTCTTCGAATAAATGTTTCGACAAAATATTCCGTCTCACCGTTTCGGAATAATCGTAGACTGTCTGTTTGAAAAGCGTTGCTGCTATATACCGGTGAAGCATCCAGATAACTTGTCACTTGCGATAATTGTTCCCTGGGGCCGAATTCGCAGTTTTCTTTCGGTGCTGGACCACTTCGAACAAATTCTAGACATCTAACTCCCAGAGGACCGAAGAAACTGTCTTGCGAAGTTACTGATATAGGTAGACACTCGGGATGCTACAAAGATACATTTTATTTCTGTATTAAATGGAAGAAGATCGGGTAATGATAATATTTACCATGAACTCCGGTGGTTGAAAACCAGAGCCAAACTTCAGGCAACATTGCGGTATACTGCCATTAAATCCTCTACTTTGTCCAGTAGCTAATGGAAATATGAGATTCAGATGCTTTTATCTTGATATACAATATTAATTACTGATTGTAATTAGCAAAGTGAAATATTAAACTTGTAAACGTCTATATAATCAGAATTACAGAGACCCTATACGTATTAATTCCCTGTCACTATCTGACACGAATAAATTTTAATAAAGAGTGGCATTATGAAAGAATTCGCACCTGTCAAATCGTGGTCGACAAACTGCCCCCATTGCATTAGCATATGCGTAACAGATTCAAGAGGAACATCTCTGTCCTCGTGGATCACCGTGGTCACTTGTCTCGCACTGGGTAGTGGTCTACCGGTTACCGATTTCCTCGCGCTTTGAATTCCATCATCGTAGACCGGAAGCAAGAACCTGACAAACATTCCGCAAATTCATCAAGCAATGTTCAGCGAGAGTTGTCTGGAAGATCACGCGAAATCGTTCCATTTGACGAATCACCTTTGCATAGGAGACATGGCAGAGCCCCACCATAGATTCTGCAGGTTATTGCAGCTTCCATCGGAGGTTCTGTATCTCAAACTAGCCGCTGGACAGTTGGGAACTCCTCTGTTTGGGCAACTACGTTGAAGTGGATTGCTTTGACTCCGACGAGAGAGGAGCGAGTCTGTCGGGATATTTGGGAACCTTGAGCAAACAGGCCGGAGAAATTTCGAGATTAAATAAGAGCGCAAAGTTGCGGAAGAGAATAAGTAAAGACGGAGCTCTTACTTTCTTCTGAACATCGCGGTGCTCTGAAGAACGGCGAACCCGTACTTGGCTAGAGTTCTTGCCTCTTCTGTCTGGTCGTTGAAAATTGCCACGTGCCTCGCAGGGTTGTCGGAATCGAGATAAAGACCTGCGAAATTTTAACGTTGTGCTTAAATTTCAACAATTTCAGGTTGTTCGAGGATTTGTAACGAGTGATTATTTTGGGAGCTACATGGTCGGTAACGTTGCTTTAATTGCAGAATAAAGGAAGATTCTAAACAGAAGTTTCGAAGCCTGAACCCAGAATTACCATTTAAAATATATACATTGATCATTAAAAATTAATTATTTATTTTAAAATGAATATATCTATCCATTTCCC